ATCCCCGGTTGTGACAAGAACATGCCTGGCTGTATGATTGCGGCGCTTCGACACAACAGACCTACGATTATCGTATACGGCGGAACGATCCAGCCGGGTAAGCATGGTATGGACATGCCTGGCCTTGGCAGGAAGAAGGGCGACCCGTGCAATGTGGCGGACAACTTCGAGGCGACGGGCGCGTACAGCAAGGGCTTGATCACCGCCGAGCAGCGTGCGGACCTCATCCGTAATGCCTGCCCCGGCCCCGGCGCGTGCGGTGGCATGTACACGGCCAACACGCTGTCCACCGCCATCGAGGTGATGGGCATGGGCCTGCCTTTGACCAGTAGCACCCCCGCTGTCTACCCCGAGAAGATGCAGGAGTGCCTCCGTGTCGGCGGCTACATGAAGAACCTGCTGGCCAAGGACATCAAGCCGCGCGACATCATGACCAGGCAGGCGTTCGAGAACGCCATCACCATGACACACATCATGGGCGGCTCGACCAACGCCGTGCTCCACCTGATCGCCGTCGCGCGTGCCGCCGACGTCGACATTACCATCGACGACTTCCAGCGCATCGGCGACAAGACGCCCATGCTGGCAGACATGAAGCCATCAGGGGCCTACTACATGGAGGACATTCACAAAATCGGGGGCCTGCCGCCGATCATGCGATACGTCCTCGACAACACAGACCTATTGCACGGCGATGTCATGACTTGCACGGGCAAGACGCTGCGCGAGAACCTCGCCGACGTGGAGCCGCTCGACTTTGAGTCGCAAGACATCATCCGTCCGCTCTCGAACCCCATCAAGGCCACGGGACACCTCACCATCATGCGTGGCTCGCTCTGCCCCGGCGGCGCCGTCTCGAAGCTCACTGGCAAAGAAGGTCTGACGTTCGACGGTACGGCCGTCGTCTTCGACTCCGAAGAGGGCATCACCGAGGCCATTGCAGAGGGCCGCGTCAAGGATGGCAACGTCGTCATCATCCGCTACGTCGGCCCCAAGGGCGGGCCGGGTATGCCCGAGATGCTTGGCCCCACCGGCGCGATCATGGGTGCTGGCCTGGGCAAGACCGTCGCCCTCATCACCGATGGTCGCTTCTCGGGTGCCTCGCACGGTTTCTGCACCGGCCACGTCGTCCCCGAAGCTGCAGAGGGCGGACCGATCGCGCTGGTGCACGACGGCGACCGCATTACTATCGACGCCAACACGCGCGAGATCAACCTGCACGTCGACGCCGACGAGCTCAAGCGTAGGATGGACACCTGGGTCAAGGAGAAGAAGGGCAAGACGCTCAAGGTGAAGAGCGGATGGCTGTACAAATTTGCGCGCGACGTGCAGAACGCCTCGGAAGGCTGCATCACCGACCGCGACCTGTTCTGAGTTGGTTGTGCCATGTTCGTTATCAAGCTTCCGCAATGCAGGACCTCAATCAGGTATGGCGTTCATTTGGTTTGTGCGGGGTTGACAGGTGGAGGCCAGGTGCAGGCCGAGATCCGAGGTTTGAGCCTAACTATTTTGGCCGGCGCAAAAGGGAAATTTGAGCTTCTTTCGGTCCTGCCAAGCCTACGTCCTCGCGCTCATCACCCACATCGCCCACGTCACCTTCATCACTTTTACCACCACGTCGCTCACGTCTTGCTCCTCTTCTCTCCTTCGACGAACGATTCGCGCTGTGGCTTTAGATCCCGACCATGTCGTTCGGGTTTCAGTTCGACGACTCGGAGCTGGACGACGAGTACGTCTCTCTCGCGTCGGCACCGGCGCCGACTGCGACGCCATCGACCTCGAATGGCGACTCCTCCTCGGTGCCACAAGCGCCGTACCAGTCGTATTCGCTCGATGATATGCTCGATCATCTGCCCTCACGCATATCGTATTCATCGATCAGCATCCCGCTCGCCTCGCGCGGCACTTCAGTCCAGATGCTGCGGCGCGACCTGTTCGATGCGCGCTTTCAGATGCTGCTCGACGAGGACGAGGACGACAAAACCTCCAATGCGGCAGGCATGGATGCGCAGGTGGACGCGCAGTCGGACTTGATACCTGGCGTGTACGAGGGCGGGCTCAAGACGTGGGAGTGCGCGCTGGATCTCGTCGAGACGCTCGATGGGCTGCATTCCGGCCGGTGGTCGGAGCACTTTAGCGGCAAATACATCCTCGAACTCGGCTGCGGGACGGCGCTGCCGTCGCTCTTCATGCTGACGCAGGTGCTGAACGACCGAGCCGGGGTGGGGATGACGCTGAATCTGGCGGATTACAATGCGCAGGTGCTGCAGCTCGTGACGCTGCCCAACGTGCTGCTCGCTTGGTGGTCGTCTGCAGCTGCTGCCGCGTTCAGGGCGGGTGCAGGGGCCCAGCAGACGGCGCTTGAACGACATGAACTCGCACGGCGCGGACAGGACCATTTCGACACCGCTCCACACGACGTCGACGGGCACGGCGAACTTGCCATCACGCCGGAACTGGTGTCGGCCTTCCGCACCTCGCTAGCCGCACACGGTGTGCAGGTCAACTTCATCGCGGGCGCCTGGACGAATTTCCCACCACCCGCACGCGGGATGGACCTCATTCTTACCTCCGAGACCGTGTATGCTTTGCCCTCGTTGTCGCCGCTGGTGCGACTGCTGCACACGTACGCCGCTGCAGATGCGGCGGTGCTGGTAGCTGCCAAAGTCATCTACTTTGGCGTAGGCGGTGGTGTGGAAGCGTTCAAACAGACACTAGCCCAGCTCGCGCCCTCGGCCCAAGTGGCTTCCATACACACCGTCACGCGCGGAGTAGGACGCACGGTTCTTTCAGTCACATTCTAGGATGCAGAAGAAACGACATTCGATTGTGCAGTGTCAGCTGGCTTGAGGGACTGAGACTAGACAAAGTCATCCGCGAGGTCACCGGACCATTCGAGCATTGCGTCGAGCCAGCGCTGGATGGGTTTGTGTGCGGTCCAGATCTCGTTTGCGATCTTGGCGCCCGCAGCGCGCGAAAAGACGTACCAGCCAAACAGGACAAAGTCGGCATGGGTCGGGTCCTGACCGCCTGCAAACCACACGGGTTTGCTCGAACGTGGCTGTGGAGTCGTAGCGCTGTGGGTCGAGTACGAGACAGCTCCATTGGTCGAGTCGGTGCCGCCTTCGCAGGTGAGCATTGCATTGACCACTTCGAGCTTTGCGATGGCCTGCTGCACGTGGTTCTGCACATCGGCCTGCGACATGGACGAGACCTTGGCCCAGCGCGGCTTGCCGATCTTGACGTTGGCAAAGTAGTCGGCCGACTCGGCATCGAGCATGGCGTGGACACCACGCTGGGCGAGCGGACCGATGTGAGGCGCGAGCACGGTCTTGCCAAACTGGTTGAGCATGGCGGCGAGACGCTTGGTGGCCGAACTGCCAAAGAGACGATGCCCATCTTGGTGACGACGCTCGAGGTATTCGGCGATGGCCCAAGAGTCGACGATGTGCGAGCCGTCGCTGAGCTCGAGAGCAGGCACGGTGACGTTGTCGGCGATGCGCTCCGAGAGCTCGTTGCGGATCTGGACAAACGTGAGGCGCTGACGCTCGTAGCCGACGTTGAGCAGCTTGAGGTCGAGGATGGTCTTGATGGTGTGGGGCGAGAAGCACGCCTTGCCTCCAGGCTTGTCGGTGAGGTCAAAGAGCACCAGACCGGACGTGCTCGAGGTGAGCGAGGTGCTATCGGCGCGCGTGGGATGCGCAGCAGGCTCGTCCGCTTGGCGTGCGGGTGCTGCGGCTGGCACCGCTGCATTGACGCCCTCGGAAGCGGCAGCCGGGGTGGAGGAAGTATCGCTTGCGGCGACTCGCACGTTGGAGTCGGTTTCAGAGATGCTCAGGTCCTCGAAGCCGCTCTCGGACGGAGCGGTGGTGGTGGGCACCGTCGAGAAGTCTTCTTCAGTGTCGGCGGTGGAGCCAGCGCGCTTAACAGGCGTTGCGTCGCTCATCTTTGGTGTACTGTCTTGAGCCAAAAGATGGTGGTGGAGAGAAAGATAGTGCGTTGGATGGTGAAAGGCAGTGCAGAAGTGTTGCTCCGCTGCAGCACCGATGGCTACGTGCAGGGTTGCGGGTTGTGGAGGCCGAAACCCTCTAGCCAGGACCGCACCGGCCGCAAGCTCACTCTAGACAACGACGACGAGGTCGCACGACCCAGCCGATCCGCATTTTGGCTTGCTCAACGTTTTGCACTCGGCGGAAGCTCACCTTGCGAGCGTTCGCCTTGCTTGACGGCCGTACAGCTGCTGTGCGGCTAGGCCGGCCACCTTCTGCCTCCACTCTGCGAAGGCGGCTTGGCTTGCACGGACCAGCCTTCGGCAGCACTTCAGCCGAGGAAAAAACGGGAGCATGTGTGATCGGCAAGTCGAACACTCAAAAATTTCCGCATTCATATTCGGTCCCACCCGAAGCAACCCCTAGCCCTCCTCCAGCAAGCAGAGCGCCCCCACGTCGTGTCACAGGGCTCATTGGGAGCCGCATGTTGGGCTCAAGAAAGATCATGATGGTATCCTTGATGTGAGGGTACAAATACAACAGTGCAGCGCTAAGGTTCGAATGCGGCAATCACGGAGCGGATGGAGCTAGGTCATGCGTCGTCCTCGCTGTCGCTGCCGTAGGCGGCCAAGCTGCCAAGACCGTTTGTAGCAGGCGCATCCTTCTGACGCTGGTTGTGCAGCGATGCCAGATTCGACATGGTTTCGGCATTGAGCAGGCCTGCTCCAGCTGTGCTCTTGCTTTCCGATGCAGGGACGGCAGCGACTGGTGGCACAGTTTGGCTGGCTTGTGCGGCAGCCTGGCGCTCGCGCAGGATCTCGGCCCACTCGCGTGCATTTTCCTCGTCGAGTCTTCGCAGCTCCTCCTCCTCCTCCTCTTGACTCGAATGTGTGGTACGGCGTCGCTTGGCGTTGGCATCGGCATCGGGACCATCGAGTGCCTCGAGTGCACGCAGGGCCTGCTGCGCCTCGATGGCCTGCGTCGACATGCCGGCCATGATGGTACGCTCGCCGGCCCGACGCAGCTGCTCCTGATTGCGCTTCTGTGCCGCAGGGTTGGGATCGTCCGACGCCCAGCGCACATTGATGATCTCGTCGTGGTCGAGCGACTGGTTGAGCATGGCCTCTTTGGCAAACTGCGCGCTGGCCTCGTACTTGTATGTGACGAAGGCACACGAGCGCCCATTGAGCACGCGCAGACGGTCGATCTCGCCCCACTCGCTAAAGTGGCGACGTACGACGCGCTCGGTTGCATTGTCCGTCTCGGGCCGCACCGAGTTGTGCTGCGGGCGATACGTCTTGGCATCCTGCTTGGCACGCGGCCCGTTGTTGCCTCTTGCTTCGTTGACGCTGCGACCGCCCTTGAGCGTCTTGCCGCCGTCGCGCCAGGCAGCGTTCTGGACGGTCGGAGATGAGACGCCGTGCTCTTCGTGAATGCGGCCGACGTAGAGGGTGCGGTTGACCCGGGACAAGGAGCCGGTTCCGCTCATGTCGTCCTTGTAGTTGCCGAGCTTCTCGCGACCAAAGCAGTCGCGGCCCTGGCTTGGAAAGTCGTTGGGACGCGGCAAGCGATGCAGGAAATTGCAGTCGACGCCGTGTGGGCAGCATCCGCGCGCAAAGTGGATGCAGCAGTAGACAGCCTCGTCCGGCGCAATCGCAGCGCCTTGCTGCGTGCGTGCCGCTTGTGTTCGCAGCAGCACGTCGGCCTTGGTGTAGCCGGCATCGCGTGCAATGTCGCATCGGGTCTCGCGCTTTGCCTTTTGTGCTTCGTTCTCCTCTCGGTCGACGCCGGCGTAGTTCTCGTACCAGATGTTGAACGTGCCTGCCGATTCGGGACGTGCGCTGAACGCCTCTCGAATGTCGTTGAACTTGGCGACGGAAACCTGCTTACGAGCGGGGCGCGGCTGGTACGAGGTCGATGCGACCTGTGCCGAAGCAGCATCGAGGCTCTGCTCGGAAGCTTCGCTCATGCTTGCAAGGAGGAGAGGCGGTGGCGGATGGAGGCCGGTTGATAGGGAAGCAGCTAACTTCCAGCTCTTGGTCCTGCCTCTCTCGAGCTGCAAATTTGTCCGAAATCCGAGCCTCGAGCGAAAAGTGCGAAAGCTGCGATTGTTAGGTTGTCTGCTTTTGCGGCCTACTCGCGCGATCTGGCAGTGCAGCTCAGCAGAACAACCACTCGACGGCTCAGCCAACCCGACACCCGCCACGCGGTCCAACTGAAAAGCACAACGCAACACAGCACAACACGGCACAGTGCGCGTGTGTGTATGTGTGTATGTGTGTATGTGTGTGTGAGTGAGTGTTGGCGACAACTCGGCTCTTCATGCACCAGTCAGTGCACACACCAACAACGCAGAGGGCCCCTTTCGCATTCCACATCCGCGGTCCAACACCTGCTGCTGCTGCTTGCTCGTGGCTGCCTCTCCAAGCACAACCCCGCCTACCAACGGCGTGCATAGGCTGCATCCACCACCAGCCTTCCTTCCTTCCTTCCGCCGCCGTCGCCGCCGCACTCATCCTTCCGTCCACATTCCCACCCAGCATACACCCACGCCTCTCTCTTCATCCGCGACGCCGGTCGGATCGGTCCACATGAACACACGCCGGATGCTCTGCCCCTGGACGTCTCGATCCACCTGATCCGCCCTTGGTCGCTCAAGCTCGACTCGTTTGAGCTACGACCAGCACTTCGCTCGCTTCTCCCACAATGTCCGCTCCGACCGACTCGAGCCCCTTGGGCCCACCAACGACCATCCAAACACAAGCAGAGCCATCTTCCTCATCCCCACCCGCGCCCACACCCGTCTCGGAGCCGTCACCATCCCAAGTGTCTACAGAGTCCCCCACGGACATCGAAAGCCCGGTCGTGCCCGGCGCATTTGGCTCATCGATAGCATCGGCTCCCCACGCTTCCACGCCCCCGGCTTCATCTGCCGACGCTTCCGCAAACACGCCATCCTCGACTTCATCCCAGCATTCCGACCACGACAAGCCACTGCCTTCCATCTCGCATGATGAGGCCAGCTCTTCAGATGCTGGCACGCACATACCGCCAGAGCAACCATCCCTGGCTCCCTCACCGCCCGAGCCACAGCTCACATCGTCCATCATCACCACCATCAGCCCCGTGCGCAGATCCGTATACAAGCGCAAGATGAGCTCCAAGCCAAAGGGCATCCTCAAACCCGCACCGCCTCCGCAGAAAGGCTTCTCCTTCCGCAGAGACATCCTCGAGAACATCAATTCGCGTCTCGCACAGCAGGGCGTCAACATGCAGGTGCCTCTGCCCCAAGGCAGCACGGCGCAGGCCACCGCCTCCTACATCGGCGGCATGTTTCGAAGGATCGGTGGCATTGCTGCCGGTGCCGCGGCTAACGTCGGCGGTGCCAATGCCACCTCTGTAGGCGGTCTGCTTTCCAACGACTCTCCCTCCAAGCCAAACGCTGCTTCCGCAACGTCCAACAGAAGCGCCAGCACCACCACCTTTGGCTCATCTTCAGGCTTTGCAATGGCTTCGTCGCAGACGGTCGAATCCGAAGCCTCCTCATCCTCCTCGTCGACCTTGATCAAGAGCAACATCGCTGCCGCCACCACGTCCGCCGCTCCGCTCAAAAAGGTCCAATTCCAGGTGTCCCACATGGCCGTCACATACCCAATCGTCGGAGCTGGCACGCCAGAAGATGAAGATCTCACCCGTCTCCGCATCGAGAGGCAACATCGTCGCATGCTCAAGGCTCGTCGCGACAAGCCATGGACGCCCGAAGAGCTCGAGGCGCTCTACCGCGAATGCTGTCGCACCCGCGAAGAGCATCCGCTCAAAAAGATGCGTCTCGTCTTCCAGGAGGCCGCGCAGTCATCGCCGCCCGCACTCAAGACGCTCGACCTCTCCTTTGTGCCTCTCGATCGTCAAGCTGTCGAGCCTATCGCCGACTTGCTCAGCATCGACTTTGGTCTCAACAAGCTCGTCCTCGAAAACTGTGCGCTCACCGACGACAGCCTCAAATCCATCCTCCATGCGCTTCTCGTCTCGGGCACCTTGCCCAACCTCAGCATCGCCAGCAACCGCAAGATCCGCTTCCGTGGCTGGCGCTACCTCGCCATCTTCATGCGCAGGGCTCGTGCACTCCGCTATCTCGATCTCTCGGAGAACTCCATCGACAGGGCCTCGCTAGAGCACCTCCTCGCCGTGATTACAAAGCCTGCGGCAGCGGTGACGCAGGAGCGCGCGTCAAAGCAGGTTCCAACTGGAAAAGCAGCTTCCACGGGCGAGGGTCATGGTGCAAAAGGCGGAGAGGCAGCCGCAGCAACAGGGACCAAGACCAACGGCCAAGAGGCCGGAATCGTATTCAATGGGGGTGACAGCGAAGCCGATGAAGACGACGACGACGAGTTCTTCGACAACTCGGGCGAGCCACTCATGCCCACTGCGCCATTGCTGAGGGAGGTCTCGGACGACCCAGACCCGCCTTCGTCCGCGGTGATCTCGTTGCGTCTGGAGAACTGCGGCCTCAAGGCTGCCTCGCTCGAGATGCTCTCTCAATCGGTTCGCTTCTCTGACATCCGACATCTGTCACTCCGCCGCAACAAGATCGGCCAGCTGGCCTCCGTGGCACTCGCCATCATGCTCAAGGACTACCCGGATATGCCGCCACACGACCCGACTTCCACCGGCACGCCGCAGCGAGAGGGCAAGTCGTACTTTGATGCGAACGGCGCTCCGGCTACACCTTCCAAATCACAGGTGGACGCTTTCGATCGCAGCGGACGCACACCAAGGCCGACGGATGCTCAGTCGAGCCCGGAACGACGCACGCGCAGCTACTCTCCCGGCCTGCCGGAGGTGCCCGTGATCGTCTCGAGTCCAGGCGGCGGCATCACCTCGCGCAAGATGCCGAGCCAGATGTACGCGAATGGAGGAGCAGGCGGACACCAATCCACCACATTCTACGGAGCCCATACGGAACAGCTGCAGGACGCCATGCAGACCAGCATTGCGGGCCCCGGACGCGAGCTCGACTCGCAGATCACGCCGCAAGAAGCGCTCGAGATCCGTCGCAAATTGGCTCCCGGCATGAGCGAAGAGGAAGCCGTGTCGATCTACCAGGCGAAACGGGCGAGGCGCATCCTGGCGGAACTGCCGCGCGTGGGCAACCTGCTGACGCTCGACCTCAAGTCGAACGACATCCGTGGCGGTGTGGTGTACCTGGCGCAGGTGCTCAAGAAGAACCGCACGCTGCGCGTGCTCAATCTGAGCGACAACAACATCGAGATGCCCGGACTAGTGGCGATTGCCGAGGCGCTCAAGTACAACTCGACGCTCGAGACGCTGGATATGAGCCACAATCCGTGTTCGGGCCCCGGGCTGGAGGGGATCACGACGCTGCGTACTGCGTTTGCGCTCAACTCGAACCTGAAGCGGCTCTTTCTCAACGACACGGATCTGTCGTCCGAGGCGGCGATTGCGCTCGCCGAGTTCCTGCCCGAGGCGCGCAGTCTGATCCACCTGGATCTTGCCGAGAACTTTGAGATTGACATTGCCGGGGTCATGGCGCTGGCGGTGTCGCTGCGGATGAATCGCAGTCTGCGCTGCTTGGACCTCAACATCCCGCCCAACAATCCGGACTTTGCGCGGCTCTCGCAGGAGATCCTGCAGAGCTGTGTGCGCAATACAGAGTTGGCGCAGCAGCGCGCCACGCAGAAGGGGCTCAAACAGCCGATTGCGGCGCCGATCTACAAGTCGGTCGTGGCGCGCGCGGCGAGGGAGAACGACGAGCGCATCAAGGCGATCGAGACGGCACGGGCGACGGCCAAGGAAGCGGCAGCAGCCAAGGATCGCGCGGCAGTGGAGGGTCTGCTGAGTGCATCGGTCGAGTGTCAGAACGTTCTGCGCGATCTGTTGACGGGCGAGGAGAAACGGCAGCGCGAGGCGCCCGAGCAAAAGGTGACGCCGCCCGGCGAGTTTGTCGAGGACCTCACGCGGCAGAGTTCCAAGCTGCGTCGACGGCTGGCGGAGCTGGCGGGCACGGGGGGGNGCCCGAGCAAAAGGTGACGCCGCCCGGCGAGTTTGTCGAGGACCTCACGCGGCAGAGTTCCAAGCTGCGTCGACGGCTGGCGGAGCTGGCGGGCACGGTGGAGGACGAGACGGTGCTGGCGCGGATTCTGGCAGTGCACGACGAGCTGGGCGACGTGTCGAAGCGGCTCGAGGAGTTTTATCGGTACGGCTCTGCACCAGCGATTGACGTGCGCGCCGTAGATGCGGGTCTGCAAGCCAGCGGTGTGGTTGGCACCAGCGCGAGCGCAGCGTCTATGCAGCATCTCACCACGCCCGACCAGGCGCAGATGGAATCGGGTCTGTCGTCGCCTGCGTTTTCGATTGCAGACTCGGACGAGTCGGACTCGGACGACGGCGCGGGTTCCGCTCCCGCCAAGCGCGCGGTCCGGTCCCAGGCGGAGGCGAAAGATGAGGTTGTGGGCCGGCTGCATGGGCTGCGAATCGATACGACCGCAGCCGACCGCGAGGTGCCGGAGGACGACGGATGTGCCGTGCTGGCCAGGTCGCCGGGCGAAGACCGTGCCAAAGGCCAGCTCAGCGAAGAAGCCGAGCTGTTCCGAAAGGCACGCAGCCTCGGACTTGATGAGGACGACGACGCACGCGCGGGCGACAGTGCGCAGGACGAGAGCGGAGAACAGCTCCGCCAGGATCTGCTCCAGGCGGACGTACCGCCCAAGTCGAGCGCGCCTGCGGATGAGATCCAGACGGATGCAGCCGCCTAGGCGTGCAAAGCGCGGCTCAGATGCAATGCCACTCTTGTCGAACCGAGCTGCGAGGACTGTGCGGCTGAGCTGAGAGATGCGCGACCGCTGTGAGTCGGAGCAAAGTCTGAGTTCGAGCAGTTCGCAAATGGGGGAAGGCAAGAGTGCGGGCAGAGTTCTGTTGCGGCAACGCTTGCGGACGACGAAGCTGCGAGAAAGAAATGGACAGGGAGAGAGATGGGAGGACTGCTTGACGAGCAGTGGAGATTCTATCGGGCCGGAGCTTGCGACACTATCCCCACAGGAAGATGCGAGGGCACTCGGTCCGCCGTCCAAGTCGGCTAGTGTCCGCATTCGCACTCTGGCGAACACTCGAACTTCTGCTTTGGCTCCCATGGCGACCGGGCGATCCGAACGGTGTGCGGGAGCGATGGCGACTGAACGAGACTAGCGCAACCTCAAGGCTCTGGGTGCTCGACACAGGATCCCAGACTGAAGCAGAGCTTTCGAAGCTCCGTTTCAGCTGAAGCTTACACTGAATCTCTGTCTGCTTCTTTTGCGGTCGTAAGGCAGTGTTCGCAAGACCATTGGCCGGTGGGGTTGCATCAACAGGGTGGGGCTCAACATGCACGAGCTTCTCTGGGTTCGGACAGATGATCAAGACTGTTGTAAGTGTGGACCGTCCAAGGCAACATGGTGCACATGATTTGTCTCGATTAAGATGGTCGAACAGAATGACCTGATCCATTCAAACGAGCAGAGAAACATTCTCCGGATCAGCGTCGTCAGTATGGAGTTGCGATCTCGAGCCCTTTCCAGACCCAGACGGTTTACGAGCTTGATTCCAGCCTACTGTACTCGAAAGACGTGCACATGCTTTGGCATGCGAAAGGGAAAAAAAAAGGAGCGTCCGTATTGCAAGCGTGTGGAAGCGATCAGAGTGGAGATCAACAACACAAGGAAAGGTGGCAGTTATGGGTACGATAGCCGCGCGTACTGCGGGTTTTAAACGAAGCGTCGAAAACAAAAGCACAAGATTACAAAGTAGCAACAAGTATGATCCAGGCAGATACACAGATCAAGCATAGGCAGCTGGACGTTCGGCGGATTTAGGCGACGACTTTTGGCCGCGGCGGAGCTTGTTGAAGAGACTGCCGTTGCGGGTGAGGCCGGATCCTTCGGCGGCTGGCGAGCGTGGTGCGCCGCTCCTCGAGTCGGCGTTGGCGGCAAAGTAGGAGACGTCATCGTCGTGCTGCGCTCGGGGCGTCACGACGTCCCTCTCGTTGGGCGTGACGACGGTGCGGTTGGTGCGACGGCCGTAGCTGCCGCTCGATACAGCCGCATCGGCGGCAGCGCGCGAATCGCGCGAATCGTACGACGATTGGCCGCCCACGGCAGTCGGCGGTGTGCTGGGCGAGTGCTTGTGCTGCGCCGCGCGACGACGGCGGTCGCGCATCTCGACGGCGCCATCCTCGGGAGGAGGCACGTTGGGGTTCTCGCGCATGCTGCGAATGCGCTTGATGAGACTCTTGCTGCGCTTGGGCACGTCGGCACCCGCGGGCGCTCGCTCGTCCCAGTTGGGCTCGGGGAAGGGGCTTGCGCTGCCGACGTCGAGGTCCTGCTGGGCACGCGAAGGCTTCTTCTTGCCCGTCATGATGGCCTCCATGTCGAGCACGCTGCTGGCGGCGCTGGTGGTGCCGCTGCGGTCTCCTGCGGCCGAGTAGGGGCTGAGCGTNAGGCTTCTTCTTGCCCGTCATGATGGCCTCCATGTCGAGCACGCTGCTGGCGGCGCTGGTGGTGCCGCTGCGGTCTCCTGCGGCCGAGTAGGGGCTGAGCGTGGATCGGGTTCGCTGCTTGGGCTGCGCAAAATCCTGCCATGGCTCTGCACTCACGCCCCACACGTCTGCGTTGGGATTCGAGACGTCGTAGCGGCTGTCGGGCACGTTGGACGGCTGGGTGTGATAGCCTTGACGACTTCGCCAGATGCGTTCTGCTTCGGCGTCGCGGTCTGCGTCGATGTCCTCGTCGATGGGGAGCTCGGTGGTCGAGCCCTCGGCGTGCATGGAGAGCGACGGGACGAGTGGGGCGGTGGAGCTTCGTGTTCGACCGCCGGCGGCGTTGGCACCGGGTCGTGCGCCTGCCTTCTCGTCAGCCGGGCTGGCGTCGGCCGCGAGCGCATCGCCTGCACCGGCGCGGCCGGTGCGACCAGCCTTGGCGCCCGCCGCATTCCGGGGTAGGCCGGTCATGGGGTCGACGTTGGGATCGAAGGCGCCGACGGGGGCGCGCTTGCCCTTGTTCATGTGCGGAGCGCAGGCGTCGTATGGCGAGTCGTGATGGAACATGCTGGAGCCGTTGATACCGGAGAGATCGAGGCGGTCGATGATGTCCATGCGGCTGGTCCTGGCGGCGGTCTTGTTGATCTCATCGTTCATACGCTTGTCCTTTGCGCGCTTCTTTGCCTTGTCGTCCGCGTTGGTCCTGCGGAAGGCGTTGGCGAATTTGTTGGCCATGCTGGTGCCGGAGGCTTTGGCAGGCACCTCTGGGGGCGGAGGGAGGCTGCGGTCCTCGAAGGGGCTCTTTGCGGGGACCATGGGTGGCGGTTCTGTAATGGGAAGCGGCTGGAGGCCGGTGTAGGAGGATTCCGGGTCGTAGGAAGGGTGATGGGCGTGGCGGGAGAAGCCTGCGTTGCGCTGGTTGTCTGGGTTGGGACTGACGGTGACCACGTCGGAGAGGGCAGCAAGCACCGCCTGGCGGTCGGACGATGGGTAGGCTGGTAGAGCGAAATCGCGCGAGCAACGCGAACGGAGGACAGATGCAAGCGGCGGCAGCGGGCGGTCAGCAAACGATCAAGGTCGTAGGTTCGGAGTGCAGAGGTGATGGTGGTGCGAGGATCAGGATCGGAACGAGCGCAGGGGAGCCGGGGACGAGGAGAGTGGACCGACGATGGCGCAGCGGTGCTGTATAAGACCGGGAAGGGGCGCGCGATCGCGGGCAGCTGGTGCAGGTGTAATTTGTGCGCACACAACAGATGCACCGCGCAGGTCGCGTAGAGCGAGCGGGGGACTGCGACCGGAGAGGCGAGGCAGGGCGAGGGCAGGCGAGGCCAAGTTGGCAGCAAAACAGGGCGCGCTGATGCAGGCAGTGTGCATGTGGGCCAGGGATGGGCACTGGACGACTGGCGCAGCTGCGAGAGGCTGACTTACTTGGCTTTGAGGGCGAGGGCGACAGTGGTACAGGGGCTATGCAGGCGCAGCAAGAGCGAGCGTTGCACAGATTTTGGGGAGCTGAGACCCAAGTGGCGCGCGTGAGCAGTGAGGGAGCTCGAATTCGAGGGGAGGCACTCTCACACTGCCACGCCTGTTTGGACTCTGGACTGCGCGCGCACGCGTGCCAACGCGCACCACCCAGAATCCCTCGCTAAAATTGCGACGACGCTGGGCCTAACAATGCTCGATCGGCGGGACGTGCATAGGCAGTAAGGCGAGGCGGCCGACGCAGCCATTTGAACGTGGCGGCTGCTGGTGCTCGGAGCAGGACAGGGCTTGGCTGCGTCGGCTGGCTTGGCGTTGCCGCTACGCTAGCTGAAGCGCTTCTGGCTGAGCCTTTCTACCACGCCGGACCGAAGCCAAGCTATCCGCTAGCACGCCGAGTTGCAGCCGTAGCCGCAGCCACGTCCGCGGCCATATCTCTGCAGCCTCTCGCTCGGGTTTTTACCTGCAGTCTCAGCTAGGCGTGGCGGAAGCCGCATGCTGCAAGCCAAGAAGCGCAAGATCGGCGAGGCGCTGCTGCGAGCAGAACGTCGGCCGAAGCCATCGATCCCAAGCAGCACTGACACCCGCCCTTGATTGACCTGCAGCGCTTCGGAAGCGGACGGTAACGAGGCACGAAGCCCGGACCTGAGCGGCCGAGACAAGCCACGTTTCCTGGCCGGCCAGTCCAGAGATAGGAGTCGATGCACGTCTGTGTGCGGGCACTTCGATTCTCGGAGAGTCGGCATCTTACTTACGCATGTTAGGCTCAGCTGCAACGAGCTTGAGTTTGATCTTGTGTGGTTGAATGGGTCCAGGGATAGGCTGTGCCGAAGAGAAAGAGGCGGATCTGTCTCGGAGATGGGTGGCGTCGATTGTCCTGGCAAGCGAGCTTCGAGATTGAATTCGTCGTCGACCGATGAGCTTGTTTCGGTAGGAGGTGTAGCGGATGTGGAGGCGATGTAGATTGGTCTTGTACGGGTGCTCGTCTAGATCAGTGTAGGCAAGTAGGAGGTGCAGTGCGTGAAGTCCAGGAAGAAGATCCAGCAATGTGCAGCGATGAGGATGTCTGGTCCCACGATGCGAAGCGAAACGAGGCGATGGTGGCGAGCGACGATGGGCCCGGACCACGGCGCTCGGGATGATGGGTTGGCGGGTTGGCTTGCACGCGGTTCCCAACCAGCCAGCCAGGCCAGTCGATCTGGCCCCTGGATCTTCATTTTGAGCTGCATGAATCCGACTTGGGGCTTTCGTCACAGGTTCGCGCTTGCCTGCCTGGTGCGTGTGGAGTCGAGTCGGCAGCTGCTGTCGACACGCCTGCCTGCCTGCCTGCCTGCCTGCCTGC